CAGCATAAAATACAACCAAGTACACTTCCACTCTAAAATAATCAGAGGGCCGAACCACATGGCTAACTGTGGCAATGAAGACGCCACAAATTCCCAATCACCACGCACTACTGACTCAAGCCCTTAAATTTGTTCCTTAAGCAAACATGAAAAGAAGAGAAAAGAGAAGGATGGAAACTTTTGAATTGAATAGAATCTCCTAAAAAATGAGGTCCTAATCACAGTTGGTTTAGGTGAGGGATTCTGTTCTCTCAGTCCCAAATAATGAAAAGCTTCCCAGATTCAAAACCCATAAGCTCATTTCATTTTCCCACATTTTCTCATCAGCAAAACACACAACGAATCTCACAAATTTCCAAAATGAAAAATCACAGAAAGGGCCCTAAAATAAAAACCACCATTTGCAATGAAAAGAGAATCATCAAGTGATTTATTTGACGAAACGCTGAGAATGTGTGCGATTATCAGCAAAGTTAATCAACAATCAGCTGCTGATTTGCGAAAACACAAACGCAAAGCTAAAATTATTTCCTTCGTTTTGAGAAAATATACATACCCAAACATATATATCTATATATGTCTATGTATTTGGTCACCTGTATTGAACGAACAATCGAGATCTTGAAACGCAATGATCGAACAAGCAAAGTTGTTTCTCTGTCCTAGGGTTTCTGCGATATCAATGATTTGATTCCCCTCTTGTCTTCGAAGAAGAAGCTCTCCTCTCTCTCTCTCTCTCCTCTCCTCTCTCTCTCTCTCTCTCTCTCTAGTATTTTTTCTGGTTGATGTCTGGGGGTTGGATTGAAATTATATTTTGTTTCGTCTTTTTTTCTTAAAATATTTATTTGTGAAATTAAATTGTTCACTCGGTTTCCAGGAAGGAAGTTTTGGATGCACAGCCAAGCCTTGCAAGTGGTGCCTTTTTATTCTCCTTTTCCAGTTCATTTTCCAGTTCATTTTTGTCAACCTAAAATTACTATTCTGGGATTAAAGGTGTTAACAAGTTGAAACCACAAAGAAAATTCACATTTTATAACCATTTTTTAGAGTTTTTGTTTTTCAACAAAAAAAAAAAAAAAAAGAAAGTCATTTCTTTGAGCTGATTTGGTATTGCTATGTTTTGAAAAAAAACTGATTCTGTTGTGCTTCACGTTTTTAACTTTTTTTTCGTCCAAAATTGTTATAAAAAATTGTTTTTAAATGTTTACCAAACATCTTTTTGAACTCAACTTTTTTTATAACTATTTTTTATATAAGCACTTCAATACGAAATCAGTGCCACTAGAGAATGCGACCGAGACTATATGACAATGACACAACTTAGTTTGTCGCATGGTGATGTCTTTATGTATACTGCCGAAAATAGTTTTAAATTGAAGAGTTGACCATGTATTTACTTAAACATTCAATATGTAGCTTTTAAATTTGAAATTAGAAAAGCGACTATCATATGTTTGACTGTATTTAAACATTATGATAACTTTCTTAGGTATGTATGGTAGCCAAGTCCAAGATCTCAAACCTTCTTTTAAACAATGTGAATGAAAAATATTATTAGACCACCAACTAATGATTAGATTATTATGTACATAAAATTGGACTTTTACACCGCATTTGGATAAGAAAGTTTTAGATTACTATGGACTTGTAGAATAACGAAAATTGAAATGGTTATTTTGTTAATTTATAAATTTTTTTGTTTGGGTAATCTAAAAGAATAATAAATTTAAATAGGTAATTTAATGTGTGTATAAAGTTGTTAATATATAAATGATGGTGGGTGGTGAAGACCATGTTGATGATGGTGACATGTGGTGGTGGTATTTATTCATGGTTGAGTTTTTTTATTTTTAAACTCTCGCTCATAAAAATTATGGAAATGACAGCTAATTATATGAAATTTAAACTTGAGAATTGGATGTCCCAGATTCCGATTTTTTTTTTCACGCAAAAATTCTAATTTTTTATGTTTATGATCCAAACAAAGAGAATTTGTGCATGTCAATTTATAAATTCTGACTTTGTTCAAATTTTAAGTTTATTTTACTCACCCAAACGTAGTATTAACTTTAAGCAAAGGATATCTCTAAAGGAAAAATTCGTTAAAACATCTCCAGTGGAAGATGAAAAATCTCTTAAAATGAGCATTTTACATTTTTTGTTTGTAAGAAAACTTTCTAGTGGGAAAGATGTAAAACACCCATTTTGGGCGGAATATGTAAATGAAAATGAAAATTTATATATTTTTTACATATTTTGGTGGTGGATCCCGCCGGTTTAAGAGAGAAAAATAAATTAAATCCTAAATTTGCATCTCTCTCCCTAAAGTAGGACTAAAATATACATCTTTCGAAAATATAAAATACGATGTAAACGTGTCAAATTTGCATCTGTACATTGGAGAAGGGGTCATTTGCTAATTGCTACCATAAAAAGCAACTTTGGTAAGTCAAATGTTTTTTTTTTAGTACAACTATATATATTTACATTAAGAGAAGGAAAGTTCGACTAAGCCACACAATGAACAATTTAATTTGGTATCGAGTTCGCCATCCACAAGTTTTGAACTTAAGACCTCTCAGTTACAAGTGAAGAAGAATACCACCATACCGTAGTTCTGAATAACAAGTCAAATGCATTTTTAAGCGGTCAAATTATAAATCTCATAATAAAATAATATTTTTAGACAGCTACAATGGCCACAGCCTACAGTCTTATTTCTTTACCAACTTTATAATTTCATCAACTATAAAAAGTTTAAAAAACCAAACACTCTCTTCCTACCCCACTTATAGTCCTAAATATCCATAACATTTTTTTTAGTACATCGATATTTTTAAACTAAGGGGAGGGAGAATTCAGCTAAACCACACAATAAGCCACCTAATTTGGTATCAAATTCGCCATTCACGAGATTCAAACCTAAAACATCTCACTTTTCAAGTGAAAAGGAATACCATCAGACCGTAGTATTGAATGACATATCCATAACATTTTAAGTTCTAAATAAAATAAATATAAATAATGATTGAATCTGGGAGATTTTAGGAAAATAGAATATCCACGAACATTCCCGTGCAATCCAGCCAAAAGTAACCACAACCAGACACCACATATAACGATGACAACTCATTTTCTCTTTGACGCTGGGAAAGTTACCTTCCTTTCTTTTTCTTCTTCTTTCTCTATTCCTGTCTATCTCTATCTTTCTCCCCCTACCAAATCTGGATTTAAGATCTCATATCCATATTTACTCCCTAATTCCAATTCAGAATTAATTGAAAAGTAGGGAGAAAATAAGAGAGAATTTGAGGTGGGTGGGGTGGATGGAAGAGATGGAAGGTGGTGGGGGGGTGAAAGAGTAAGAAGGGAGTGAGGAATGAAGAGACAAATGGGCTGGTTTGATTTGTTTCTCATTTTAAATTTTTTGATTTTTTTGATTTGACTACAAAAAATATATAAGAAGATTAATTTTTAACAAGGCTTTTAAAGTCTTTTTACATAAAGTTAAATTTGATATTAAAGTTTTCATTAAAAGGTAAATGGAGAAATAAGAGAATGGGTGGCATATCAGAACTATTTTTATTCATGTTGGTTTATAATTTAATGGTAAAACAACTAGTGACCTGGTCATTTCATTGTCTTGTTGATCTTTAGTTCATTAGAAATTTAAAGGTTACTCAAATCTTAAATAAAATGGCCAACTCCTAAAGCACTTTTGTTAATCGATTCCAATTTTAATATTTTATAAAAAAAATGTTAAAATTAGAAATAAAACAATTATCAAACGTCCCTTTAAATTTATAATGAACCATTTCGGTATTCACAAAAAAAATAAAAAAAATAAAAAAAATAACTTTATTGCATACAAGCATTTCCTTTGGTGCAAAGTAGAAAAAGAACAATGTGGAGTGAGTTGTTGACAACCCAGGAGGATCCGGCAAGGATCCTCCAATTATATCCGTTTATCGTACATTGTGTAGTCAGAAATTATTGTAATTTTTTTTATTTAAAATTGAATATAAATAGTACCTGATAAAAACTGACAGCACGATATACGATGAACGAATGTGACTGGAAGATCCTCGGATCCTCGCTCCTCGCAAAGAGGATCCGGCAAGGATCCTCTCTCTTTGACAACGACATTTATTAATTAACAACATAAGAGGAGTTGGCACATAAAAAGCATATGAGGGGAGACAGCCAATTCCTCATCAACAAGAAAACAAATTCAGTATGAGTGCTGCGAAAAAACCAATCACAAATGAACACCAGTCTTAATAATTGAAATTGAAACCAATGATTGATATTTGTGCTTTGTGATTGCATTTCGGGTTGGTTTTTGTCACATCTACTTTGGGCCCCGACCACACCCTCACGGTTTTGTTTCTGAAAAATCACACGAGAACTTCCCAGTGGGTCCCCCATCTTGGGATTGCTCTTGCGCGAACTCGCTTAACTTCGAAGTTCTGATGGAATTTGAAGCCAGTGAGTTCCCCAAAAGCCTCGTGCTAGGTAGAGATAAGAATATACATATAAGGCTTACTGGATCCTCATCCCTGGGGTGATGTGGGATGTTACAGTTTTGGCTTGCGGTGCTTTTAAACAAAGCAGCTTATTAAAATTTTAGAGCATCAAATGTGTTTGGTAAAACAAAAAATAAATGTTTTTTTTTAAACTGCTGTCAGTGACAATAGAAAAGTATAGAAAAACATAAGCAGGTTTGCCATGCTTCTAAATTTTTTTTTCTTTTCAAAATATAGTAATCAGTGCCCATTTAAAAAAATTTTCAAACGACAAGTGTAGCCTCACATATTTTACAAAATTACAATCGTTGCCCCTACACTTCTCTTTGATAATTACTGTATCACATTAAATATCATATCCTTTTTAGTCATTTAACGTATTATTCACAATAATTTATATAAAAGTTAACCAAACACTCTTTATTTTTGTTAAAAACACTTCAACAAAAAAAATATTTACCAAACACTCAACAATTTTATTTTACAGTTATTTATTCTAACAGCATAGCATAAACAATTTTTTTAAAAGACACATCGATACCAAACTAGTCCTTCAGGTACACTTGTTCTTCTTTCAACAACGAAACATAGTTCACATATCCTTAACCCTTAACCCTAAACGGTCCAACCGCCAAAATCCATTGTAGATTGGGCCCCACAAGATGTTCCTTATTTAGAGGTACAAATGATATTGAGCAAGGGAAGACTTTTAGGAGTCCCTAACAAACTCCTTGTGCTCATACAACATATGCAGCCACAAACTTATTTACAAAGTCATTGGTTTAGCGTTCGTAAATCAGTTTGTGAATCTAACACTCTATCTACAACAGATGACAGGCTCGACTTATGTACCAAGCAGCTTCTTCCACCTCGCATACCCGTAGATGAGAAAGAAGATAGCCAGGCCAAATGCTACCATACCCGCAACAAACCGTACAAATATCCCATTAACGTTAAATATTGGACAGTAGATGTTAATACCAAATACCCCAGCTATCGAAGTCTCCACCGATATCGCAAACGATGCAATGCTCAATGTCAACTGGAACTGAATGAGTTCATTTCGTTGGTTGTCAAGTCGTATGTTGACATAATCCTCCGTGTCATCAATATACTCCCGCAACTACGTCCAATGAACACGATAAGAACATGAGCAATATTCAAGGACAGATTAACACAATAACCAATCATGCTTAACGCGCGCAACTAACTGGATTCTAAATGACATTCCTCATGTACCGATGATAGTGAAATTAGTTTCGACTGGGAATCACAAGAGGTCCAAAGCTTCCAATTATTCCAGGAGCAAGTGCAACCACAGAACTCGCAAAAATATGTAACATTAAAGAAATCTAACCTAAATTAGTTATGTGGAACTGGATCTAAGTTGATGCAACTGCATTAAAACGCAAGCTAATGGTGACAACTGATATTTAAAGCTTGTTTTGTAAAAGGTTAAGTTGTTCAGTATAAAGTTGTTATGGTAGATCAAAACAATTGGCACTCACAGATAATATCTTGTTACGTGTTCTATCCAGTTGCATAAAATATGCATCAAGCAGCATCTCTAGATCTTCTACGTCATCGTGGTCCATATAGTAACTGGTTATCAAACTCCCGCTTCTGGTGGAACCAAGCCGACGAAGATGGGATGTGGGGATTCTATTTGACGCAGAACGCCCCAACAAATCCTCGGGCTGTTGATTCTGCATCCATTTCCTTGTTAAATATAAATGTGCCATATCTTCATTGTCATCCAACAAATTTTCGATTTCATCCTTCATCTGAAATCAGACAGACACGTGCTTCTTACTCAAAAAGAAATAGCAATATATCTATTGAACAGTAGCATACAGATAAAACATGTATCCTATGTCCGAAACCATTTTACAGAAACCTTTCATAGCATTATTGTCAAATAGTAAAAGGTATCAACTTCTCTTTGTAGTACTGCATATCTGGAAACAGTCAAACCCTCAATCACATGTCCGACTGAAATTCAATTCCCCTCCAACATCTAAGTATAAAAGCACTCTGTCAAGCTGCGTGATAAATGTACATCTTTCAGCTAAACTTGAAGCCCCTGCCCAAGCAACAGTGATGTAATAAAGTAAGTTATATGGATGTTGGTTTTGCCATCCCATCATGTAGAAGTTTCTACCTGATGGGATGGGGATGTTGGTTTTGCCATCCCATCAGGTAGAAAAACCATCCCATCAGGTAGAAATTTCTACCTGATGGGATGGCAAAACCAACATCCATATAACTTACTTTATTAGATCACTGTTGCTTGGACAGGGGCTTCAAAGTTGAGCAGAGGGGGCTTCTCTTGAAATTGCCTCTGCTCAATTTTCAATAGAGTAAACCTGAACTCCTTATGTCGTTCACTTCATAAGGACTCAGTTATATTGTCTAACAAAGTCAATACTAAAACCAGAACACGTCTAAATGAGACCAGGCAGGAAGGGTAGTAATAAATATCTTATTATTCACCAGAACATGACCTGCTTTCAAAATTTATTCATACCTTCACATCACTTACCCATAGGAGCATCTAGAAAATATGGAACTCTGTCATCATAAACATCGTAATTTGAATCTTTTCGTAAACACTTCTATGTTTACTTGTGCATTAAACTTAAGCTAAGGTTTGATTTAGAGTTTAGGCTTTAGATGCCAGAAACCTTAGCTACTCTTCATACGGCAACATGAGTGCAGGAAAGGCTATAAAAAGAACAATTGTATTTCCACGTGACTACAGATATGAAACGCAGATAAAAGTAACTCAACAAAACAAGAGTTGATGACAATGGCTCTCAACTAGACTCAATTTTTTGACTGAGACAAACAACCGTAGCATCTATCCCAGATAACCAACCCGATGTGACTAGGCGACTAGAAATACATGCTCAGTGAACGTAAAGATGCTTTTATTAGTGAATTGAATGGCATACTACGAGTGCATCACCACAGCAAATCACAATCTTTACATATTGATGTATCTGTGTGTTTCAATTCCTAATTCATGAAACATTCTTGAAGCAGATTGTGTGGAGACACTTAACTAGGGTTTATTTATGTCAATCTGGGATTTACTGCTTTGTATTAATATTTGATAGTTTTAAATTATTAAGGTGCCAGTGCTTCAAAAACATTTTTAAGTTTAAGAAAAAAATTTGAAATATCACAAAAACTATGAATCGACAAACATTTTAACTCCAATTAGGGTCATGCCGGAAAGGATTGATATCAGATACAGCACAGCAAATCATCTAAAGAAACAGCATTGCAAATCATCTGAACAAATATAGAGAACAATGACTCATGAGGTAGGATTAAGCAAACATACCTTCTGGACGCGTGCAAGCAAACGAGTAAGATTGCTTTTCAAAATCCTCACGAGTTCAAGGTTTTTGGTGCTAACATTTCTAGCCAGTTCATCTAACACAGGGTAGGCTTCTCTCTCAAGGTCTGCCACACTAGAATCCAAATATGTACAGACAACTTCTAATGCAACCTCAAGAACCTGAAACTCAAATGGGAGATCACACTGCAAACCTTCAATGGCCTCGGGAACAGGTAACCATTGCCTTCCGGTTGAAACATCCATTCCATTATCTTCTTCACCGAGTGGACTTGCTTCTTGTATCCTGGATTGGCTTTTCTGAGGAAGTTGTTTCCTTAGCTGATCCGCAAATGGAAGAACCTCCTGTCGAAGAGGATCAAGCAACAAAACCTCTTCGGCTGTAACTATAGCCTTTATAAATTCTAAATTAACCACCATGGCCTTCTCCCTGGCTGCAATTAAAATGAGGAATACATATTTATCATGGTCTACTATGGCTACACACAGTTTACAATTAAAACACTAGCAACTAATGCAAAGAATACTTTCTATAAGATAACATGCATAAAAGTTGTATTCATAAGTAGTATAACTCAGAAAGGCATTGTTCAAAGGAGAACGAGTGAACTCACATATAAAGTAATAAAATTTGCAAACCCCAGAGGAGAATTAACATATAAAGTAAGATAATTGCAAAACCCTAACCCTAATGTAGGTAATACGTAGGAGTACCAAGGATGCTGGAGGAATGGGAGAAGACAGGGCCGAGAATCCTCAAGTCCCGGGCGGGAATGGCAGTGCGTCGAATGATAGCGTTCTTATCACACTCGACGAGCTCTGTCATGCCGAAGCGGTCAAATCGCATCCAAAGCCTGGCTCCTGCCTTCTTCTTCCCCTTCACGCCACCGCCGGCGCCGCCAGCAACAACTGCACTCAGACTATTGGTATTGGTATTGGTATTGTCATTGCTAATATTAACATTGTTGGAGGGCGAAGGAGACCGAATCGGCTGAGGCGGAGAGGGAAAAACAGTAGGAGGGCCAATGAACTTCTTGGGGCGGCGTCGTATGCTGCTGCTGCTGCGCTTGAAAGAGAAGGGACCCTTCCCCATCTTTCCTATGGTCCCTCTCTCTCTCCAGGACTCTCTCCCTCTCTCTCTTCCAGTTGTGTGTGATTATTCAGTGTGCCATGGATCTCTCTCTTCCCCTTCTCCTACTCCGACTCCGCCTCCTCCTCCTCCTCCTCATCCTCCCCAGCCGCTTGCTTCCTTCTTTTAAGTTGTCTCTCTGACCAGACTCCCCTAGGCAGCGCCTACTTGACATATTATAAGGAATGCGGGATTTTCATCCGGCTGGGGGCGGTGTAATGGTGAAGAAGAAGTTATAAGGGGGCGGTCACTGGTGAAGAATGAGTTATTCGGGGCGGTGTACTGGTGGTGAGGTTAACCGTCATGCGACGTTAAAACGTTGCAGAAATGTATATTAAACGAGAGACGTCACATGATGAGTGCCGTTCTTGTTCAATATAAATTGTTTTTACATTTGTGTTAAGTTGTTTACGATTTTTAGATCCAAATAAAACAGGAAAAAAAATTGTGCCTACGTGTACAGTTTATTAGTATTCTTTTTTAATTTTAAGTGAGATAATTTATATTCGATTTTTATAAATAACGAGTTAGAAACTAATTCGAATAAATAAATAGTGCATCTTTGCTCATCACCTTCAAATGCAAGTTCAAATCTTGGTAGATTATATTTACACATCCCAAATTACTTCCCTCACACTCTTTTAATTTTTTAATGTTTTTCTATCAGATGTTAGTAGTGTGTAGAAAATAATAAAAAATTTAAAATGTATGAGAAAAATAATTTAAGGTGTGTGAATATAACCTCTCCAAATCTTTTGCATCCCCTTTTTTTGTGGCCTATCGTTAGTAGTGTAACATGTCTCTAAATTATAGTATTTTAACCTTCTAGGTGAGAAATGACTAAACTGCCCCTAATGGTGTATGTAGACTTCTGTTGACTTAGCAGTCGGGACACATGTGACATTTGCATTCATCACTACGAACGTGTAGAGTTAAGCAAAACAAGATTTATTAGACTTAAAATGAGTTTTATTAAACTTTAAAGTCAATGGTATTTTTAGTAATTTCGTCCGTCTGCTGGACAATGTTTTATTTTAAATTGTTTTGGGGTCCGTGGGACCCACCCTCCCTTCTTCTTCCCCGGGCTCTCCCTCTCATTGTGGAGGACACATTCGAGAGCTTTCGGGGGAGGCAACTCTCTCCCTTTCGTTCTCGGTGTGCCGAGAATAATGAGTGGCAATCCCATCGGCGAGAGCAACAAAGACAACCGTCCCCACCTCCACAGCCCAGCAAGTCCAATCACCCCAGTGTTTGTGGAAGCGGAAAGCCAAGCTTCGGACCGAGACCTCCGACGGCGGTCGTGACATTTGGACGGGTTCCTCGTCGTTCGAGGCGCAAGTAAGTCTAAAACTCGTTCGAATTGCTCAGTATCATTGATTAGGACTAGATTTTCATGTAAAAATTATGAATTTTTTGTGCTGTTTGGAGGTAACTAGCTGAAATGCTTGCGTTTCAATTTAACACACCCGTATCTAAATTATTCAAAAACCAATCAAATAAACATCTTTCTACCAAAAACCAACTTTAGCAAAGAAGTCAAATGCATTTTTAAACGGTCAAAATTATAAATCACATAATGATAGTAAAAATATATGAAATATTCATATATTTTTATTCATGTTGGTTTATAATTTAATGGTAAAACAATATTTACTTCATTAGAAGTTTAGAGTTTACACCATATTTCGCTAAAATTTTGAACAAAATGGGGAACTCGTAGAGCATTTTAATAATCTTTTTAGTTTTTTAAAAATGAAAATTAAAAAATAAAAAACGAAATAATTATCAAATCGTCCATTAAATTTATAATTAGACCATTTAGATTACAAGTTTGAGAATGTCAAAATAATAAGAGAACTCAAATTCATCACGAGTTTGACTTTTTTTTTTCTTTTGTGAAAAAATTGAAATGATAATATTCTTTTCAATCAATAATTAGATTATTATAAACCCTAATTCCCAAACCTACCCCATTAGAATGTTAATAGTAGGGCTATTTGAAGGACTTGTTCAGAGGTGCATCTAAAATGTTTGAATGCTCTTTTAAATAAAATAATTTTGAGTTTCAAAAGCATTTAAAATGATTTTTGCATTGCAAAAAACAATTTAACTACTTTTTCAGAATTCATTTGTATTTTTATTAAAAATTGATTTTAAAATTTTTTGACTAAAAACAAGGAGCAACAAGCATGACCTAATTACGCCAAACTCACAAAACGTATATCAATCAAAACCCTAAAACTGTCCGTAAGCCAATTCATCACCGAAATGATGTTCTTGGATAAAATTGTTTTTTTTTTTTTTTAAGACAAACGATATTATCTACCATAAGAGGAGAAGATGAATTTAGCCTCACAATGGGTTATGAATAATGTAGTTCAAATTCGCATTTAATGAGAATCGAACATAATACATTTCACTTACAAATGAAGAACAATATCACTAGACCACAGTAGTAAGTGACAAATAAAATTATTTTTGAGCAATCTCATTATCCATAATAGCCAAAAAAAAAAAAAAAAAAAGCATCAGTTGAACAACAATTTGTTCAACCCGTTAACGAAATTACTAGTTAATCATACAACAACAAAGAGCCTTAACCTATTAAGTAGAGTCGGGTATATAAATCCTAGTACGCCATTGGGTTCGATTTTGCGTCAAGTCTTCCATTAGCTCTAAGTATTCCATGTCTTTTCTTCAAATTAACAAAATCACATGTTAATTTTGACCCAAGAAAATTCATTCATCAGTTCATATGCAACACTATACTAAACTACATGCCATGTAATTCGAAACGAATCTGGCAGCATACCAAGCCATGAAATCCCTAGCAAACTCCTTGTGCTCATACAACATGAAACCACAAGCTTATTTACAAAGACGTTGCTTTAGGGTTCGTAAATAAGTTTGTGAATCCAGTACTATCTACGACAGATGACAGGCTCGACTCATGTACCAAGCAGCTTCTTCCACCTCGCATACCCGAAGATGAGAAAGAAGAGTAACACGGAAAATGCTGTGATACCCCCAACAAAGGCCTCAAATATCCCATGCTTATCGTATAAGATACAGTGGATGTTCATACCAAATATCCCAGATATCAAGGTCTCCACCGCTATCGCAAATGATGCAATGGTCAATGTCAACTGGAGCTGAATGAGTTCGTTTCGTTGGTTGTCAAGTTGTATGTTGACATAATCCTCCGTGTCATCAATATACTCCCGCACCTACATGCAATGAATAAGATAAGAACATGAGCAAAATTCAAGGACAGATTAACATAATAACCAAAGCTAACTGGTTTCTAAATGACAATCCTCATTTACCAATGATAGTGAAATTAGTTCCTACCGGGAACCACAAGAGGTCCAGAGCCTCTAAATGATTCCAGGAGCAAGTGCAACCACTCGCAGAAAATATGAACATTTAAGAAATCTAACCTAAAATTAGTTATCTGGAACTGCATCAAAGTTGATGCAACTGCATTAAAACGCAAACTAATGGTGACAACTGATATTTAAAGAATGTTTTGTAAAAGATTAAGTTCTCCAGGACGAGATCCTTTAAAAGCATGTGCATAAACTGAACTTAAAAGTCAAGTTGTTCAGTATAAAGTGGTTATAGTAGGTCACAACAATTGGCACTTACAGATAATATCTTGTTACGGGTTCCGTCCAGCTGCATAAAATATGCCTCAAGCAGCATCTCTAGATCTTCTACATCATCGTAGTCCATATTGTTACTGGTTACCAAACTCCCACTTCTGTTAGAACCAAGCCAACGAAGATGGGGTGCAGAGATTCTATTTGATGCAGAACGCCCTAGCAAAGCCTCGGGCTGTTGATTCTGCATCCATTTCCTTGTTAAATATAAATGTGCCATATCTTCATTGTCATCCAACAAATGTTCGATTTCATCTCTCACCTGAAATCAGACAGACACACGCTTCTTACTTAAAAAAGAATATAGCTTATATCTATTAAATAGTAGCATACAGATAAAACATGTATCCTATGTCCAAAACCATTTTACAGAAACTTTTCATAGCATATTGTTTAGTAGTAAACAGTATCAACTTCTCTTTGTAGTCCTGCATAACCTGGAAACAGCCAAACCCTCAATCACATGTCCGACACAAATTCAATTCCCCTCCAACATCTAAGTGTAAAAGGATTCTATAAAGCTGCCACGAGAAAAGTACATCTTTCAGCTAAACTTGAAAACTCTGCCCTAGCAACAGTGATATAAAGTAAATACGGATGTCGGTTTTACCATCCCATCAAGTAGAAACAATTTCAAGAGAAGCCCCCTCCGATCAATTTTCATCAGAGTAAACCTGAACTCCTGATACCGTTCACTTCATAAGCACTCAGTTACATTGTCGAACAATGTCAATACTAAAACCAAAACAGGTCTAAACGAGACTAGGGAGGAAGTGTAGTAATACAAATCCTATTATTCACCAGAACATGAGCCACTTTCAAAAATTATTCATACCTTCACATCACTTAACCCATAGGAGCATCTAGAAAATGGAACTCTGTCATCATAAACATCATAATTTGAATCTTTTCGTAAGCACTTCTATATTTACTTGTGCATTAAACTTAGGCTAAGGTTTGATTTAAAGTTTAGGCTTTAGAAGCCAGAAACCTTAGCAACCCTTCATATGGCAGCATGAGTGCATGAAAGGCTATAAAAAGAACCATAGCATTTCCACGTGACTACAAATATGAAAAGCAGATAAAAAGTAACTTCACAAAACAAGAGTTGATGACAATGGCTCTCAACTAGACTCAATTTTTTGACTGAGCCAAACAACCATAGTATCTTGGACAACTGACCAGATGTGACTAGCAACTAGAAATATATGCTGAACGAACATAAAGATGCTTTTATTAGTGAATTGAATAGCATATTATGAGTGCATCACAGCACATCACTATCTTTGAAATATTGATGGATCTGTGTGTTTCAATTCCTAATTGATGAAACATTCTTGAAGCAGATTGTTGGAGACACTTAATTAGGGTTTATTTATGTCAATCAGGGATTTACTACTTTATATTAATATTTGATAGTTTTAAATTATTTAAGGTGCCGGTTCTCCAAAAACCTTTTTAAGTTTTCAAAACAGATTGAAATATCACAAAAACTATGACTCGACAAACATTTTATCTCCAAGAAGGGTCCGGTTATTGGGGCTGGAAAGGATTGAAATTAGATACAGCATAGCAAATCATCTGAACAAACTCAGAGAACAATGACTCATGAGGTATGATTAAGCAAACATACCTTCTGGACACGAGCAAGCAAACGGGTAAGATTGCTTTTCAAACTCCTCACAAGTT